TAATAATAAATAAATAAAAAAATAAAATTTACTTTTAACATACAGTAGATTCCGGTTATAACGACTTTCAAGGGACCGACGATTTTACGTCGTTATACCCGGAGGACGCAATAACCAGAAGGAGCAAAAAAAAATTTTTTTTGTTTATTTTATGGTTGCCATGTTCGTAATAGGCTTTTAAAATAAAACAAATGAATTTTTAAGTCAAAACAAAAAATTTAATTTAGTAACCTTGGATCTTCAAAATAGGTCGTATACATATAACGGATATTCATAAACTTAATATAACTAGATTAGTTTCTTTTCTTTTACTTTTTATTCTTAATTTAAATAATCAGTAATTTTTTATTGTTTTGCAGTCGCTTTTGACATGTAAAAACAGTCGCGCACCGCATTATTTAAACGAGAGATGCTGTGCGTTAAACTCTCGTCATTAAAATTCGAATGGACAAATCTATTTAGTATTTCTGCAACCTTCAGTGCCTCCAAAACGCTGACTCATCTTCATTTCGATCTTCCACGTTGTCGTCGCTATTCTGTTCATCATCTAATATATTTTCAACAATTCTGTCTTCCGAAGGTTCCTCACAAGTCCCCACACCATTGTCAATAAGAACATATTTATCCAGTTCTTCCTTTGAAATCGGTAGCTGATTTTTTAGAGCTCTTGCCCAAACCGATAGAGGAATGTCATCTTCGATTTCAATAGCATTTGAGCATGAGCTGCTGGAAGCATCTAAATTTCCTTCTGCAAGCCCAGAATGCTTAAAACAATTCGCAATTGTCAATGGTGAAAGTTGTTGCCATGCATCATTTATCATTAAAATGGCATCAAGTGTGGTTATTTTTGAATAATTTTCATCTTTGTTTTCATCCATATTGCTGATTATTTTAAGTACAAGATTTTTCCGAAAAGTTGATTTAATCACTCGAATTATGCCTTGATTCATTGGTTTAATACAGATGTCGTATTTGGTGGAAGGAAAACTAATGTGATATTCGTTAGGTCACTAATTTGGGGATGGGCTGGACAACTATCAACTAATAGCAATATCTTCTTTTTCCTTTTTAAGCTCAGCATCCCAATCCCATACCCAATTAATAAAAATTTTAGATGTCATYCATGCCCGGCGATTACTATAGTAGTAACAGGCAAAGACTGAACATTTTTAAAGCATCTATGTCGCTTTGATTTTCCAATAACCAATAARTGCTTTTTAATATTACCACTCATATTGGCTGCAACAAGGACAGTTATCCTTTCCTTGGACAGCTTCCCTCCAGTGCATTTTTCACCTATACATTAAAATTTCAATAAACAGATTTCTTCAAAATAATTTTCCTTCTCATCTTTAAATTTTAATGTTTTGTCTGGAGTTAATTTGTAGAATAGTCCAGTTTCGTCGGCATTAAAAATTTCCTCATCAGTGAAATCTTTTCGTAGTAT